CACTTTTCACAAAAACAAACCTGTGTGTGTGTGTGTGTGTGTGTGTGTGTGTGTGTGTGTGTGTGGCATAGGGAAAGGAAGTACCCTTAACTCTACCTTGTGTGAAGTGACTGGTTTCTGAAAGCTCTCCATCAGATTGACCCTTGTTTTGTCTTCTGCAGTGCTGAGCATCAGAGGTGTACAGGAGGAGGACCCTCCAGATCCCCAGATCATGCGTCTGGATAACATGCTGCTGGCCGAGGGAGTGTCTGGGCCTGAGAAGGGCGGCGGGTCAGCAGCGGCGGCCGCAGCTGCAGCAGCGGCTGGAGGATCACCTAACGACGGCAGCATCGAGCACTCCGACTACAGAGCCAAACTCGCACAGATCCGCCAGATCTACCACTCCGAACTAGAGAAATACGAACAGGTGAGAAACAGACACCCGTCTGACCTTTATTAAAGTCCCCATGAAATCAAAATTAAAGTTTTTTGGGTGTTAGTATCAATATGTTAGTCTTAAGGTTATCTATAAGGCAGTGTGCTCCAAAACAGTGACAAAATTTGCATTTAGAAGATATAAGCATTCAAAGCTTGCAGTTCGTCACTTCCGCCAAAACGGCTCAACAATTTTTTTGACGTCACATCGTACTTCAGCTAGAATCCGAAGCGCCCGCCCCCTACACTATAAAATAGGCGCTGAAGCTGCAGCTGAAATCGGTCACTTGTCCACAGAATTAGTATTACTATTTTCTGTACAGTGAATGGCACGTAGTGCACTACATAGGGGACAGGGAACGATTCAAACAGTGTAAATATGCTTTCCATTGAGGAAAAAAACGAACGCTATTGGCTATTTTAAAAAGGGGCGGGGCTGCTTGATATGTCCCGCCCTGTCTTCCTGTTTCAGTTAAAGTGACGTCAACACATAGAGTAACGCTGCATGTTTCTAAGCGTTTCAGGGGACCTTTAATAAGTCATTTCAGCAGATACTTGTGGGTTTGTGTATGTCATTTTTTAATCAAATTGACTGATTTCATTTACTGGTGGAGTGGTAATGAGAAAAAAACTAAGCAATGATGTTATCTTTTAGAAATTTCATGTTTTATTTCATATACGTATTTACCATTCAGAAAGGACACATTAAATTGATCAAAAGTGAGAGTAAAGACATTCATAATGTAAAATAAAAAGAAAAAACAAATCATGATTCCACAAAAAAATATCAAGTGGCACAACTGTTTTTAACATTGATAATAAAAATAACTTTTAGCAGCAAATCAGCATATTAGAACGATTTCTGAAGGATCATGTGAGCAATGATGCTGAAAATTCAGCTTTGTCATCACAGGAATAAATTGTATTTTAAAATATATTCAAATAGACAGAGGTTATAGAATATTTCACCATATTACTGTTTTTACTCTATTTTTGATCAAATAAATGCAGCCTTGGGAAGCATGAGAGACTTCTTTCAAAAACTTTTCATGGGAACGTATATTTGTATGTATGTAACGATCCTCAAATCTGTTTGAAAACAGGCCTGCAGTGAGTTCACCAATCACGTGATGAACCTGCTGAGGGAACAGTCCCGCACACGGCCTATCTCGCCCAAAGAGATCGAGCGCATGGTGGCCATCATCCACCGCAAGTTCAGCTCCATCCAGATGCAGCTCAAGCAGAGCACCTGTGAGGCCGTCATGATCCTTCGCTCTCGCTTCCTCGATGCCAGGTGCGTGTGATCTGTGCTTTTTAAAGTTTTAGGTGTCTTGTTGTTCTGTTGTGCTGTACTTTTCCACTAATTATTAGCCTGTTATCAATGAAACTCGTTTTTCCACTTACTTTGTCCTCAGACGTAAGAGACGCAACTTCAATAAGCAAGCCACAGAGGTGCTGAATGAGTACTTCTACTCTCACCTCTCCAACCCTTACCCCAGTGAGGAAGCCAAGGAAGAGTTGGCCAAGAAATGTGCTATCACTGTCTCTCAGGTAAGGTCACGTATGGTCTACAGTTGTCCCATGTGAGTATTGCAAAACCTGGAATCCAGCTTTCCAAAAATGGAGCATGAGAAAAAATGTCCTAAAAATAAGTCCTGCCCCATATATATATATTTTTTTTTTATTTAATGAAATTATGCTACTTTGTCAAACAAGGTTTTCATGAATTATAGCATCATTTTATAATACTGTCATAAAAGTTGCATCATGTCCATAATGCAGCTGTTAGCGTCTTAAGTGTCATGACGCAACAAAAAAAAAAGGTCACTAGCAGATACAGATCAGTTTTTGTTTAAGCATAATTTCTGTTCTCCTGAGTAGTTATTGATGGCAATTATTAATATCACACATTTTCGCAAGGATGAGCGCTTTTTGCACATATTGCAGGGTTGAAAAAGATAAAGAAAAGTCTGTCATTATGTATTTGCCCTCATATCACTCCAAACCCATAAGAGTTTGGTTCATCTCTGAAATACAAATAGAGATATTATTAATGAAACGTGAGTGATTTCTGTCGCTCTATTGAAAGTCCATTACACCAAAACTTTGATGCTTTAAAAATAAATTGTAAAAGTAATTCATATGAATTGAGCAATTTAATCCAAGTCTTCTGAAGAGATATGATAACTTATATGATGAACAAATTTAATTTAGGCTTTTATTCACACACAAAAAAAAAAAACATTGAGCATTGCACATGCATAGAGCACATCAAATATGGTAAACAGAAGATAAAACACACCAGCGTGCATATTAATCAAAATATATTCCTTTGTGTTTTGGAAAAGTCTTTCAGGTTTTAAATTACATGACTGAGTTAATAATGACAGTATTTTCAGTTTTTGGGTGAACTAACTGCAGAGTTGAGTTGTGAACTTGTGCTGTTATCATGTCAGACTTCCCGTAATTACAAGTCTCCCACTTGTAAAAACCGTTCATGTTTGTTGAAAGTTGGAAACATTTTATGACAGTTCCATCTCCTCCCACGTAACTTGTGAAGTCAAAACAGCCAAAATAGCAGCAGCTTCAAAAGTTACAGTTAGCAACTTCTACACATTTCTGTTTGATCTGTGCGGGGAAGTTCCTTTACTAATAGAAGAAACAATTAGGAAACATTGCAGCTAATGTTACATTTGTGTGATCAGAAAATCTAGAGCTATCATGTACAGCTGGCATTAGATGTATAGATGCCTACCTACATAATGGAATGAGGTAACTTTTTTAACAAATTATAATTCTCACTCACTGATAAATCATTTATTTGATATCACACACACAAATGATTTCACAAGAAGGAAGTTCTATTCAACATTTCCTAATGGCAGATGGGCTACACTGTTTCCAGAGTATGTTTTTGATTCAGCTGTGATAGAAAAACAAAATGCCAGAAGCACCGATGGAATCTTTTAACTGAGTGATTGCAGAAATATTCATAAAAAAAAAAGTGTACATGAAAATAAATTATGGCAGTGTACCACACTACCCTTGAAAAGTTTGGGGTCTTTTTTAAGTTTCTCTTATGCTTACCAAGGCTGCATTTATGTAAACAGTGATGTTGTGAAATATTGTTAAAATAAGTGTTTTATATTTGAATATATTTTCAAGTGTAATTTATTCCGGTGATGCAAAGCTGAATTTTCAGCATCATTACTCCAGTCCTCAGTGTCACATGATCCTTCAGAAATCATTTTAAACATGCTGATTTATTATCAGTGCTGGAAACAGTTTTGCTGCTTAATGTTTTTGTGGAAACCGAAATACATTTTCCCAGGATTCTTTTGATGAACAAAAAAGTTCAAAAGAACAGCATTTATTTGAAATGGAAATCTTTTGTAACAATGTAACAATCAATTTTATGCTTACTTGCATGACAAAAGTATCAATTTCTTTCCCGAAGAAACAAAAAAAAACTGAGCCCAGCTTTTTGAGCAGTAGTGTAAAATCTGCAGTTGAGTGAGTTAGTTCAACAGAATGCAGTGACATCTGCAGGATGAGAATTAGTGTCCGAATCTTTTAAATGGAAAAAATTGCACTTCTTTGAAATATACAGGAATGTCTTATTAGTTGTAGTTCATTGTGATGAAATTGTTGTCTGACTGGAGTTGTTTCACCTCAGGTCTCGAATTGGTTTGGCAACAAGAGAATTCGGTACAAGAAGAACATTGGTAAGTTCCAGGAGGAAGCAAACCTGTACGCCGTTAAAACAGCCGTGGACGCTGCCAATGTGTCGGCACAGGCCAGCCAGGCAAACTCTCCAGCAACACCCAACTCAGGTAAAGTGCACAGCAGCCCTCCCATCATCTCTAGCCAATAGTGAAACTACACTGCGCACACCGCTTGCCACAATCACTCTCCTGGCTACATGCTTTTCACGCTATTTTCATTCCATCTCAGTTCTGTTTTTGTCCGTTCTCAAGTCTGTTTTTGTCTGTCCGTCTTAAAATCTTTTTCCCCATCATCGAGAATGCTTGTTTGTTGGTATTTGCATCAAGTACTTGCTGGGTGAGATTTAGATGTTGTCGATCTGGGTTGCGCTGTAAAGCTGATCTGATTGTATCTAGGCAACAGCTGTTTTGTAAACATCTTCAGGATAAAGCCGTCATAGTGTCGTTTTTCTATGGACCTGGGCCGTATGACAGCATTCATCACACATCTGTAGAAATGTGTTTATGAATGGGTGTTACATGAAGCAGAGTTTAGTTTACGGTTACATAACATCACAATTCATATGACGCATTCATATGACATTGTATAGACAGGAAGTTAATGTGCGAGCACAAGTTTCAGGCTCAGGCAGTCTGATTTTGGACTTATGCCAGGCTTGTTCATTTGTTATGAATAATCATATTTTTTGTTTCTTATCCATCATGTTACAGAGGGAAAACATGAAAACGATGTCATCTCATTTGATTAAAGCAGGGAACTGAAGGGAGTTTGTAAGCTTTTGAAAAGCTACAAATTTATTAAATAAAAATATATATTTTTTAATAAATCAATAAAGATTAAGGTAAATTATGAACTATTAGTATTATCCATACAAAAACAATTACTAAAAAAGGAAATCTATTCATGTGACTAGGGTTGGGTATCGAAAACCGGTTCCAAATTTCCAAGGACCGGGTATTCGATAAGCGTGCATTTCGATTCTGCTTAACGATTCCTGCGTTTGCATTTTAATGTGATTAAAAACTATTTAAGTACAGGAACGGAAAGAACTTGCGCCCTGTTTGCGTGCAGTTGCAATACGGGTTCCCGGTTTGTGTCCGTTCTCGAACCGTTCCGTGTATTTCCACTGTAGAAAAGGTTGTTCCGAGCCGAAACTGACTTCTTTCATATTTGTCGACCAGTATGCAGAAAACTACATCAGTATATCATCATAAACACAGCCATTTTTGTCTTACGTGAACGTAAACGGATGAGAAAGAAAACACACATGTACAGTATATTTAGATCTGCGTGCGTTCGGTGTTAAAGAGACAGCAGCCTAATAAACGCGCTGCCTGTCATTAATGTTAATCAAAGAACAAAAGAAAACCATTCACTGATCTTGACTGAATATATTTCATAACTTTAATTGATTAATCTATATTTTATTTATGAAAAGAAAACTATGCAGTGTTTTTAAACTTTTAATTACAGTTTCTGTACCTGAAATTTTGTTCAGTTGTATTTATTTATGATATTGCTAATTGATTTGTTTGTTTCTATCTTATTACTGACTGTTCACTTGTCTTTAACACTTTAATATTTGAAATGTATATTAATCTAGTTGTTTTTGCTGTGGTATTTTTTTTTAAAGCATAGGCAAAACTCCTCTTGCAGTGTTCTGTAGGCTGCTGATTTTTGCTCGTGTTATTCAGCTGCAACAATGCTTTGTAAAAAAGACAGAATAAATGTTTGACATCTAAATGTTTGACTTAATTTTAATTATATTGGATTTTTTTATCTTACTGGAATTGAAACTAGGAATCGATAAGAATCGGAATCGATACATTTCAAACGATACCCAACCCTACATGTGACCTTTAACTGTGAACATGCAAATGTGTTGTTAATTATATTATAAAAAATTGTATCTTAAACTTATCTGAAGGGATGCTTAAGTTAATATTTAAGGTCAAAGGAGTTTGGCTGACAAAAAAACTTTGGGAATCCCTGGATTAAAGTATTTAATCAGAATTGGATTGTCTAAATGTAGATGTGACCAAATTGTTGTTAAATTAAACATGTTGAATTTCCATTACGTTATATAAACTCACTCAAGATTGTTTTGATCATACCACCCACACTCACCCCTGGCCAAGTGAACATTCACTTCATTTCTGGTTTTACATGGCCATTTTCCTCTGAGGCTATGCCGATAACCAATAACTTTCAGTTGATGACTAACATAGCCTCTATTTTTCTTTTTTATCTCTGCCGAAATTATTGATGCTGTGTTTGTCTGTTTAACATTTCCATGTTACTTTCATATGCACACGAGACACATCCACACACACTTGGTTAGAGTAGTTGAACCTCTATTTGCTCAGGAAGCAGAATGAAGAAGGTAGGTGTTTTAACTTGGTATTGTCATTTTTAACAATACTCGGTCACCACGTATATTTTTAAACCCCATCTCCACTATCCTGTTTCACATCCTGCGGCCAGCGTACCAACAATGCATCACATCATCTAGAGGAAGTAGGATGTCAAGTTGTATACCTTCATGTAAAGCAATAGTCCACATCAGCACATACGTGATCGCTTCCCGTTCTTCACCTGTTTTGTTCTGTCGTCTCTATAGTCAGCGGAAGTAGTCAAACAGATTATCATGACCGTCTTGTATTCCGGAATGTGGTTAGTCCTGATTGTCACGCTCAGCATAGACAGATTTTCACCACACACACCTGTAGGCTTCTCCAAAACCCGACCCGGGCAGGGTTGCGTGCCTGATGGGCTGCGTGTATTGCTGCAGGGTCGTCTGGGTCGTACACCCTCTCTCACGCAGGAGACGCCTTCCTCGGGCTGCGTTCATTCAACGGGGATGGCGTCAGCGTCACTCCCGCTGTGCAGCAGCAGCAGCAGGTAGGCACTGAGGACGTCCCCTCGATGCCCTTCCTCTTCCATACCTGCTCACAGTGTAGTGCTCTCTTCCCTTTTCCCCAAAGCACCCACCCCAGAGCGCTTCGGCTCATGAGTCCCGAGTGTAGAGCTCTATCCTGAAAACGAACTCCGCCATCTTCCCTGTGGCATTGTTCCATTTAATTTCTTCATCGGTCATCCACAGTCATGTCCTTAGCCAATCCTTTGCCTCCTTCCTGTTAGATGAACTCTTTTCATCAAGGGCTCAACAGTAAGGATGTACTACTGAAAGTGTAGTAGTACCACTACTGCATGTGTTTTTATGATTCGCAAATTTAGAAATGTAATGTCCTGTGAATTTTTTTTTAAATTTTTTTATTCTTTTCTCCCCTATAAATACGTACTTGGCAAAATATAAAGAAATTGTTTTGAAATCAATTAATTGTTTTGAAAATAATTTCAAAAAAATTATTGAAATGAAATGAAAATGAAATATTATTCATTTTTATTTGTAACATTTTATTAGGGATGCACCAATACCACTTTTTCCAGTGTGCACGTATTTGTACTGATGCAGAATAGTACAGCCTAGAGCATTTTACACAGGCTGCTAGATTCACTTTCGACAGAAAGTCGTATGCCCAAGGTTAAAAATAAATGACGTTTATAGTGAATGCCCCTGTAAATGGTCTTATTTTTACAATTTCGTTTTAATCCAAATGATGCGTGTGCTAAGTGAGCGAACATCAAAGATCACATAACAGAAGTGCGCGCTCTTTCTTTCTCTCTCTCTCTCTCTCTCTCTCTCTCTCGCTCTACCGTTAAGTAACTTGTGCATTGTTTTACTTACTTGTTTTTGACACATCCGACCGAACTACAAACTTTCCAGTGATGTCTGTGAGAAAGGTATATTCACTCGACAAGGTCGCGTGTCTGCGCCGCTGCGCACTCAATCCACTCAGCGCGCTTTGTTTATCAGCTCGCGCACATCAGCTATACAGGCGTTAATACTGAATGTTTAACATTATATTCATTGCATACATATACTCCGTAGACATCCTTAATGTCTTATAACTCCATTCTGCTGTCTGTTGTTCTGTTGTCGGTGTTTCTTTGTCTGAATATGGCACTGATCACATGCTGTGTGGTATCGGCGTTTGGTATCGGGGCATTTTAACAAGTACGAGTACAGAAGCTCAGTATCGGGCCCAATACCGATACCAGTATCCTACATTTTATATTAGAACTAAGAGTCTTAATTACACTACTGTTAAAGTTTGTTTTGTAATGTGTTTGAGAAAAATGCATTATGTTATACGTCATACATTTTTTATTTAATTTTAATTTGTTTTTATTTTAAAGGTGGGGTAGGTGATTTGGTTCAAAATCATTTTTTGTTATGCTGGTTGAAAGTCTCACTAAGTTAAGTGCCTGAATGTATTTTTATCGTCTGTAGAAGGCGTAGGAACATAAAATGTTCGTCCAATCATATCCCTCGGTCCGAGCTGTATGTATTTGCATACCTCTGACATGCACAGACATGAAATGTCATCAGCGCATTCCCGCGAGAGTGAAAGGCGCTATTATTGTAATATTATGTGCTTTGTACTGTAAAGTTTTTTTTCAGCAGTGAATGAGACATGAGGTAATCTGACAGCGTTGCGTTCAGTTCTCCACCATTGCTGTCTCTCATCGTGTCGCTAGTTAGCCTCTGGTCTACCTGTGTGCATTCATTTGTTTAGGAGGAACATGGCTTTGGAGAGTGATTATGCAGGGAGGGTGGGATCTTATGCTTTCAAAGCTAGCTTGCTATTGCTAGTCTTTCCGAAATCGCCTACCCTACCTTTAAGAGAGCTTAACTTAAGAAAAAAAAATATTTTATTGTGGTGGGGTGAGTGAAAGCATCAGTACAAATCTGAGCTACCTGCCAAAACGCATCCTTATTGTTGAGCCCTTATATATTGTTCTGATGCCACTTTTACACTGTCAGCCAGTTGTGTTGTTTTTATACTTTATTTTTCCAGCATCTGGAAAGAATCAAACCTTGTGTGTGTGAAATTGTTTTTCACATCTGACTAGAGTTTCTAAATGAAATGCATATCTGATGTGTGGTAATGTTTACATCTAAACACTGAGTTCTCATTCTTCTCTTAATACATATATTTGATTTCGTAGTCGGATTTTAAAATCAAAAGAAACCGGAAATTTGCTGCTTTATCATTGTGAGCCACTAAGGAGTGCAGAGTGGATCACTTTACACGAGTGACACACTGAAATAGTGCAGTGCAAATCAATTTGGTATGAAAGTCATAGTTCTCCCAGAAATGAAAATACTGTCATCATTTACTCACCCTCATGTTGTTTCAAACTCAAAAGACAGATGAAGATATTTTTAGTAGTCTCTCATCATTTTTGTCCATCCATTGAATGTCTTTGATGCTCAAAATCCTCCAAGTCATCTGAAGAGACACAATCGCTTTATATGACGAACCGATTCAAATGAGGCATTTATTCAAAACATGTCACTAATGACAGAATTTTCATTTTCATTCATGAACTAATAACAGATGGGACATCATCATATTAGAGAATGATGTGGTTTAGGCAGTGCATTGACTCTGAACTTATACATATATATAAACTCACTACTCCTATGTGGTAGTTTGTCATATCAGTTTTGTTTGTGGTTTTGAGCATAAATATGGATGATGTCATTAATGTATTAGCAGTGTTGTTTATACTGTTACTGGTGTGACTAAGACACAGTGATTGTGTTTGAGCTTTGATACTGATGTGACGTATGTGTGCTACAGGTGGATATCCTGCACCGTGCTACACACCTGACGGCAGGCTATGAAGATCTGTCAGGAAGTCCTCTTTACACCCCACACCGTCTAGCTGTGAGTGCAGCACTGACACACACACACTCAAGCAACAAACTGCTCCTAAAAGAAAAAGCATTTGCTGTTTGTGTAACTGGGAAGATTTTTAGTTCAAGAGCATTAATCTGTTGAGATCATCTCTGTTGGTCTTAAGTGTTGGTGTAGACCTAAAGATCATTTGAAGGGCTAATGTCTGCTGCCTGCAATTTGTGGCTTGTATGTTTGCTGTTTCAACATGTGTGAATACTGTCTAGATGCTTATCAGTCAACTGCAGATAAATATTGTATGTTTGGACACACTATTTGAACAAACCCTGAATATATTTTCAAAAGTAGTATACCTGCAATGCAAAGCATCATTACTTCAGTGTCACATGATCTTTCAGAAATCATTCTAATATGCTGATTTGCGGCTCGAGAAACATTTCTTATTATCAATGTTGAAAACAGTTGTGCTGCTTCATATTTTTGTGGAAACCGTGATACTTCAAGTATTCATTTCTTTAAAAAAATTCTTACTGACCCCAAACTTTGGAATGGGGGTGTGTAATTTTCATATAAATATACAACATTCCATACATGCCTTTTGTTTTGCTGCAAGTTTTTTTTTTTTTCAGTCTTCAGCTTCATTGCTTATGTTACTTTACCTCATACTGCTATTGTGACTCTCTCCACAGGCTAACAACAGCTGGCAAGACAACACCAACCCTTCCTCCATCACCTCTCCACCAGGACCACCTGGCAGCATCCACTCGGACACCTCCAGCTAATGTAGCTCACGCTACACACACACACACACACACACACACACACACACACAGCATCTCATCATCCAGTCTCACCCGCTCTCTCCTGCTGCTCACAGCTTTCGTCCATCACTAGCAGATGTCAAAGGTCTTTCATAGTCCTCCTTCCACTTTCTTCAAGGTGTGCCAGGGTTCACACGCTGAACCAGACTATCTGAAACACACACACGCTCCTCGAGTAGAAGACGCAGAACGTCACATTTGCTGAGGACGGGTCTGAATAGACATGTCGTCCTCAAAGGGTGGACGGTCTACGCCCAACTCCACGTTACCTTTCCTGTTTCCTGTTTCATGATGGGGATTACGCAACAGCTCCCTCCTCGCTTGTACCAAAGTGCTGTCAACGGTTGTCGCACCTTCCGCTCGTCGAAGAACAACCTCAGACAACTAAACCATGAAAACGCCATTCAGCCCGCTTTTTAATACGGTTTCCAATCACTGCTTCCAGCTTTCTCTCAAAACCATCTGTCCTGCATTGTTGTGTTAAGCACAAATCCTGTCTATAACACTTTGAGCTGGTGGTCGGATGGAGAGGAATCCATCAGCGTAAAGGTACGCCGGACATTTGAACACTTTAACTAGCTGATCGCAGGAGAGTTCGGTGAGAAACAGGGGACACTTGGAGTGAAGACGATAAGAGATTGACGTGCGGTCGGCTACTATGCGTTTCCTCAGTCCACTCTCTCAACAGTTGACGTTGTTTTTAATAGTTTAGCTACAGTATTTTTCCCCCCACAAAGATGCACCAGCCACCAAATAAAAGACTCGACAAGAACTCTAAGCCCTTGTGTTCGGGAAAGGGGTTGGACGGATAGCTGGAGTATTCGTTTGGGTATTTAGAAATATTTTTAAAGGGAAAGAAAAAATATTCCACTGTCTTCCATGCATGTAGGGTGTTGAGATGTTTTAGTGATTCCATTTAGCCTAACTTTTTTTTTTTTGGACAAAAAAAAAATATATTATAAAAGGAGAAAGGGTGTGAGTAACAGACCAAATAAACAAATGAACTTCTCCAGAAACGAAAACTTCATACTGCCCAATCCAGTGCTTCATGCTGGTGTTTGGTTTCTCTAGGATTTCCGTGGTATTTCATCGCACGTTTTCATAACAGGCATTCGTGACACGCCGACCACGTTACGCGAAAACCTTTCCGAGGAGGCCATAGCAGTAAACCAATAACTCCGACTACGAAAACCGTTCCAGATATCATGAAGTTCTTTGGGTTGGCCTCTCATGTTACTGTGTTGTGTGTACGGGTGTCTGTTTTTTAAGGGTTGGGTTGTCTCATCACTCACTCGTGCTTTTGAACTGATTGTATTGTACGTGCAATTGAAAGCACCTGTTCCTTGGTAAAGCATGCTGGGTTTTTTTTTCCCCCCTTTTTTTTTTATTGTTGTTGCCTACAATTTCACTAAACAAAGGAACTCTGTTGTTTTGTAACTTTAGTCGCGGAAGCACCAGGGCGTTTTGATATATGAATGGAAATTCTATATATTACACAAAGGACTTAATAACATTGAAATGTAAATTGGGGTATTGTTTGTATGTACACATGGAAAAACAAACTCTGAGGAGCTTTTCAAGCTATTATTGTGTCCTCTGTAGATTACTGTTAGTTAAAAACATTTCATATGGATATCTCCAACTAATGCTATTACTACACCAAATTTCTTTGTTTTCTTTTCTATCAGTCATCTATGGATGTCACTGTACAGATTGTGGAATGTTTCAGTGTATTTTCTCTTTTTGTATGCTTTCATTTTTGTTTTTTATTGCTGGGGTTTTTGGATTCGCTCGCGAGCAAGAGTAATATTTGTTAGTCTTTGTAATATTCATTTTAGCATTTCAGTTACATTTTATTTGGATCGGGAGTCTCGAGTGTTATTTTTTGTGTGTGTGGTTTTGTCAAAGCTGGTAGCATTTGTTTGAGGTGTTGTGAAAATCCACTCGGTTGATCATCACACTACTAAATTGATGGAATAAAATGCCTCATTGGACTAAATGCATAAGCTATGATGATTTTGAACACTACATATCATTGGTCGATTTGGAGCTCCTAAATGTCTTTTTCCCAAAAGTGCATCCATAGAATCTGTTTGGAAACTTGGGGTTATGATCGGAGGTGGATTCCACGGCACCTTATCAAATGACATCAGCATTTTTCCTCAATTTTTATCATTATTTTACTAGAATTGTAGTACACGCTTCCTTCTGTATTTACCATTCTCTCCCTCCTCTCTACCTCTCCTCTCTCCATTTCACTTGTATATAAACCCCACCATTTTCAGACTTGGTAGTCTGTATAAACTCCTTTTATACCTCAACTTTAGAACTGTTCTAGTGAGAGAGAAAAAAAAAGAAATATGAGAAAATTGTAGTGTTCCTTATTAGAAAAACAAAAACTAATAAAATAATCTAGTGTGCTTTTGAGCCTGTAGTATTTTTTTTCTTGTTGCTGTTCATTAAGGGGCTATTTGCATGTTACGATCCCTAAAATGATCTGGTTATGGCGGTTATGAATGAGTCTGCCATGTTTCAGCGCTCTAGCCGATCGTCTCGCCCTGCCTGAATATTTATGCTGCATAAGGACAATAATATGAGGATCACAATAAATCAGACCTTTTCTCCTCCTCTCAAATTGATTATGTGCTTTGAAACAACTCGGTTTGGTGAAATGAAACAGCCCACAGTCTGCACAGAGTAAAATTAGAAACACGGCAAAACCAAACATCAGGAATCCAGGCCATTGTTTGTTTCAGGTGGGGCTTTCTATATCAAAACATTTCAGAAGAGAAGTCAATAGATAGATCACTATCAGTTAAGATCACATTGTGGTTGCTAAGGTTGTTGTTGGCATGTTGCTTGGTTTTAAAACACTTATTCTGGTTTCAGTATATGGCAAAGCTCCTCTTTCTGTTCATGTCTAGGATTTCAATGGCAATGTTTAAATATTATCAGGGGTTCTGCAAGTCTTATGAAGGTAAATTTAAAGGAACAGTATGTCTATGTTCGCAAATGTAAAGTCAAGGGAGAACTCAATTAGTTGCATTAGCAATACTTCTGAGTTTAAAGGTCACCTGAAACGCTTAGAAACACACAGCGTTAAAGGCCTGTTCACACCAAGGATGATAACTATAACGATAAAGATATAGTTGAACTATTATTAAATAGCCTAGTATATATATATGGGATTTTTGTTGTCTCTAGTAAAGGGAACATTGTTATTTAATTTTAACATTGCAATTTATATAATGGATATATAATGGATGCGGTTTGTAAGGCTTTTCTCTACACTCCAAATTTAAGCAAAAGAAATGTAATAACTCTTCATTATGTTATGTGCAGGAAAAAAACACGAACTTCTGTGGAGAGTAATGTAGGTGAGAGTAGGTGGCGGTAATGCACCTTAACGTTGGATGCCACCCGCCATAAAACATGAAGAAGAAGAAGAAGAAGAAGAGTAATGTTCGCGCCGCGTTGTCAGTTCGGTGGCGCTAGTAAACACGTCCTCTCTGCGCTGTCGAGTCAGTCGCGCAGCTCGGTCCATTGAGCCGCGCCGATGACAGGTCAGCGCGGCGCGGACACTGTAATACCGCGCTGTTTCGTCCCACATTTGGGTTGTTTGGCTTCCCATACCAAAGTATACTTCGGCCGTCCGCGTCCACATTACGTCATTTTCGTCATCAGGAGGGCTCGCGGACAGCCGTGCACCCTGTCCGCGTGCAGGCAATTTTTTGAGACCGCGCGGACGGTCCGCGTACAACAGCGCATGCGCGAGGTGAAAGTTGAGACAGAGCGCAAGTCAAACTGCGCCTGCGTTGAGCTCATCCGTCCGCACTCATCCGCGGTTGAGTATACTTTGAAAGCTGTGCGGACACGGCTGAGCGCGAGACAGAACGGAACGCGGAAAGTGAAGTATACCCGGGCCTTTATTGGCTCACTGACGGTGATGAGATTAACCCCTAATGCCGAGTTCACACTGCACGATTTTCAAACTCGTCGGATCGCCGTTGTTTTCACACTGCGTGACTAGCCCTCTCTGCGCTGTCGAGCCGCTCGGGCCATTGAGCCGCGCCTATGACAGGTCAGCGCGGCGCGAACACTTTAATACCGCGCTGTTTCGTCCCACATTTGGGTTGTTTGGCTTCCCATAGCAGAGTGTGTGTGCGCTGCGGTGGTTAGCGTGACATGACTTCTTTTTTTCCTCAATGGAAAGCATATTTACACTGTTTGAATCGTTCCGTCCCCTATATAGTGCACTACGTGCAATTCACTGTACAGAAAATACTAATTCTGTGGACAAGTGACCGATTTCAGCCGCGGCTTCAGCACCTATTTTATAGTGTAGGGGGCGGCGCTTCGGATTCTAGAGAGCATTTGATTGGACAGAAAGTTTGAGAAGCTGAAGTACGATGTGACGCCAAAAAAATCATTGAGTCTTTTTGGCGGAAGTGACGAACTGCAAGCTTTGAATGCTTTTATCTTCTAAATGCAAATTTTGTCACTTATAGATAACCTTAAGACTAACATATTGATAATAACACCCTACAAACTTTAATTTTGATTTCATGGGGACTTTAAAACTTTCAACCAAGCTCTATAACTTTTTAATTAATTTTATGAAAAAAAAAAGTCTTATTGCTTGAATATCTGTGCTCCCAACCATTAGAATATGGAAATAACTTGTGACCACACTGCGAAAGTGATGTTCTTTCTCAGTATTTCTGTCGTTTTCCAGTGCAAATGTCTAAAGATCTTCAAACAAGATACTTGAGAAACAAAATGACCAGGAGTGAGTTAATAATTACAACAGTAACAAATATCGACCAATGAGCTCAGAAAAATCGACTTGATTCAAAGATAAAACAAGCCGTCGTTCACTACCGACAGATGCTTGTTCGTGCTTTAAGCATAAATTCAATTTTGTTCACATTTTTCAAGTTTACATCTCAACTGTATCATGATTAAAGGATGTCTAGATATTTATATTGGAAAACAAATATAAGGAAGATTTTCATTCTTTTTTTGTAATGCATGGGACAGTGACTTTCTGCTCCATTTTAAGACCCACAGAAACCCTGTATTATGCCTTTTTAATGCTTTTAGTGTGTAAACAAGCTGCAGTTACAAAGTACAAACTCTCCATCAAAACGAGTTCTTCTCTCCAACAGAAAACACTTGCCTGAAACGCTTCATTTGTAGTTAAACCATTACATCCGTGGCTATCGCCTTTCGCTCCGAGGGAACCTTTCCATAGTACCTGAACTAATTGTGGAACTACCCACTTTTTGGCGTGTTCGCACCACAGGAACTAGGAACGGTTTTAGTTCTTAGGATTAGGAACTAAATTACCAGTGGTTTAAAAAGGCATGTAAACATATTTACTCCACGAACATGGAAAACAGCGACAACGGCGTTTACCTGTTGTCTGCAGTGTCGTGTTCTTTTCTCAGCTTCGATGATATGTAACGCTGCAAGTTGTCTTAAAAATGTGCATAATGTCCGCCTACTGGCTGCAATTCGGCCCACCCTCAGAAAACAGCTGTGCAATTGATTTCGTATGTCGAGGAGATGCTGTTATTTCACCACAAGAATGGACTTTTAACACCCGTGTCATAGTTGCCATACATATAATACTGTTTACAGCTGCTCGTGAAGCCTCAGAAGCTGAAACCCGATTATAATAAGGGAATTACATTTCAGACACTCTTTAAGCGGTTGACCAATCAGAACAGACTTGACGCTTCAGAAAGGTGGGCTTTGAAGACACAGGAACAGAGGGAGAAAAAAAGGTTGCTGCAGCAATATACAGTACGAGAAAAATGTTTTTTGAACTCTAATCATGCAAATGTATTCAAATAGACCTCAAAAGATAACTATTTGTACTTTTGAATGAGCATAGTATGGGCACTTTAAAATGAAAATCTGCAAGTCTGATTTGTTAAGAATAATAATAGCACCAAAAATAGAGCACAAAAGTTCTGATCTCATTCCCAACAAAACAAAGTGGTCCAAAAAGGGCCGTTTTATGAATATTAAGGCTTTGGGACAAGAAAAACTTCCTGTGAGCAGCCAAGCTGCCTGTGCCTCGTAACTAACCGACACAAAAGACTCCTAATACATCTATTGTCAAAGAGAGACAAAAACCCATGTACCAAAACAAGCTAGCAAAAATGAAGTATTATTTACTCTTTGTACAAGCTGTGATCATTTCACTAAGCAAATACAAAGTCATTTATATACACTGAGAAATACTTTTTCTATAAAGACAATAGGCTTTGTGGTGAACTGGGCTCTAAACTGGTGGAGTTATTGCTGTTTTTCTCCGAGGGTGCCCCTGTTTTCACAGGCTCAAAGCGGATGCCAGAAGGCCCCTCGTGCTGGCGCATTCTTCTCCAAGGGAAGCAGAGAATGCGTTTGTAGGTAGTCCTCATGTCCTCGTCCTGGAACGAGTAGATGATGGGGTTCACCAGAGAGTTACACTCGGCCAGAACCAGGCAGTACTTTTCATATTTAAGAACCTGACATTCACTGCAGCTGAGACCGTCCAGTAACAGAATCACCAGACCCGGTGTCCAACAGATCACAAAGGCACCTGTAGAGAAAAAAGAAAGAGAGATGAGTGCAGGTCTGCGCAGTTTGGTTTACGAGGTGCAAGCCACCACAGCATGCAAAACAAATGCATCATCTTGCAAAGAGTTGTATACAGTAAGCGTTGAACCGCAACTGTGATAATGAAATTATACAACACACACACACACACACATACATACAAAACTGGCCAAAATATTTGCAGCATTTTCACCAGTTGCAATTTATTTTCAAAAAATGTCAAAAAAAAAGATTGTATTAATTTGATCAAAAGTGACAGTAAAGGCATTTATAAATGTTACAAAAGATTTCTATTTCAAATCAATTATTCTTTTGAGCTTTCTATTCATCAAAGAATCCTGAAAAAAATGCATCTTGGTTTCCACAAAATTTTAAGCACAACTGTTTTCAACATTGATAATAACAAGAAATGTTCCCTGAGCAGCCAATCAGCATATTAGAATGATTTCTGAAGGATCGTGTGACACTGAAGACTGGAGTAATGATGCTGAAAATTCAGCTTTGCATCACAGGAATAAATTACATTTTAAAATATACCATAATAGAGAATAGTTATTTTAAATTGTAATAATATTTTACAATATTACTGGTTTTACTGTATTTTTGATCAAATAAATGCAGCCTTGGTGAGCAGAAGAGACTTTAAAACATTAAGAATTTTACCAGCCCCAAGTGGTAGTATATGTAGAAATTAATTAACCACGATTAACACATGCTGTAAAAGTTGACTGTCAGTTTATGATACCTAATGCATCAACTAATATTAACAAATTAACAATTACTGTAAAGTTTTACCCAAGTGAATAAATATTTTCCTTACACTTTGAATGTGATTGTTGACCTCTTAAGAAAAATATTTGAAAAATATTTTACATATACAAATAATTTATAATAGTGATTATATTATAATATAATTTTTTATATATGAATCATTAATTGATAAATATCACCACATGATGTTTCACAACCTCAACTGAACTTTTCCTTGTCATAAAAATATCAAATTATCTGATAACATTATGATTGGGCATTCCTGAAGTTTGTGCATTATTTTTTTGTTGGTTGCGACATACTTTCAATGTAGGTAAACTGTGTCACGTGGGCTCTCATTTCAAGATACTCGTAATACATTTCTAGATCTTTTATATTTTACTACTTGCTAGTTTAATTATAATGTATTTATTTTATGTATATTTACTCACAATAGCACCATGTGCTCAGTCAATGCATTTCTTTCCACACCACCGCATTTCTTTCCACCGAAAGAATGTTCTGAATCCTAGAATCTTAGGGCAACTAAAATAACTGATTCCAGCTCGAGGTACAAAATAAGCAGGTGCGAGACAAACAAAAATGAGCCAAACCGGTTTGGTAAACTTGTTTTGGGGTTGACAGACTTGTTTTGTTTTTCCCAAAAACAAGTTAACAGTACTTCGCCACACAACTGGAGACAATTTTTCATTTTCAAACAAGTTTCCAAAACAGAAAATCAAACTTTCACTCAGTCAACACATAGCGAGTAATCTCACAAACGTCTGAAGCCTACCTAAGAGTCAAGGCCTTACCCAGAATCATGGACATGGTCTTCATGAGGCTGATAACAGTCTGATTGTTGGAGGGCTGATCCGTGTGTGGGGACATTACTCGGCTCCGCCGGCGAACGTAGATGAAGATGTGAGTGTAAACGGCCACCATGATAAAGAAGGCCATGAGGTTGAGGATGGCCCAGGACACTAGGAAGCTGCGGGAATACAGCGGCGCAACCATGCAGCAGGTGGACAGGTCACAAACACAGTTCCAGCCCATGGTGGGCACCAAACCCATGACGACGGCCACCAACCAGATGGTGACTATCAGCATCACCACACGCCGCCTGGTCATGGTGCTGTGGAGCTGCATGGTGAAGATGGTCTGATGGCGCTCCACTGCCACCGCCAGCAGGTTGACCACAGACGCGGTCAGGCTCATGTTGATCAAAGCTCCGCGAATAAACCACTCTTTGATGGTCAAACCGATGGTCCACGGCCCCGTGTGGAACACCAGGTAGAGATACGATATTCCAGCAAAGAGGTCCGCGGCCGCCATGTTCCCAAGTAAGTAATAAATGGGAAAGTGGAACTGTCGGTTGATGATTATGGCAACTATGACCAACATATTCGCCAGAATAATAAAGACACAAATCGGGAGCCCGAGGCCGACCACAATAAAGTCATGAGTGCGCCAGTTCGGGCTGATGGGCTTGCCAGTCTTGTTGTAGAAGAAGGACACTGGATTGTCATAAGCCTCACAGGTAGAATTGAATAACATTATTAGAGAAGTAGTTAATGTAAATCAGTTGAACCATTTAGTTGTTGCCAGTTTGGCCAGTTTTTCCTGATGCTGTAATCCTGATGATGAGATCAGCCGCCATTTCAAATAATGCTTCTACATATCAAAAAACGTGCCAGTGTTGCTGCTTACAAGGCGTGTCTTCTATTGTTTTCCAACCCTAAAACACAGGAAGACGTGAGGACAACAACATTATCTGGCCTTATAAGTCCAACAAGTGAATAGGTTAATCTTTAACAAGAAAGTAGAGGGTGTGATACTAGTCTTCATTAGACACACGCTAAATTTGATTTCAACGCAAATTAAGAGCTGAAAGTAACCGAAGTAATGATGTTTAGCCCCCCATTACAATCCTAACTGCATGGTTTATAACTTAAACACACGAGTTTTCAGAGTAAACGTGAAGAACAGAACGAGGAATGAAATTAGTTGTGGTTACTATTACTTCTTATATTCAGTGAGAACTGGACGCAACAAATCTAACGTTACTCAGAAACACACACTGACTTTATTCGCCCCTGCAGAGGTAACTTACACTGAACAGTTTGGCTCGGTTGTCAGCACACAAACAAAACTACTTTGTTCTAAAATGACACTAGAAAAAAAAAAACACTTACCGTTGCCAGAGCTTCAGAGCAAACAAAGAAAACACACATAACAGCAGCTCAGAGTTCGCCGCTGGTCGATGTTTTGGCACTCGGGCGCTCGCCGGAAACGCTCATCTGGCGGAGTTCGTGGAGAAATCTTCAAGAGATCTGAGATCCGCCGAGATCCCCTTGTGCGCCTCCCTGAAACCTGATTTGATGAAATCACCGCCCGAGGATCCAATGAACGCGAGACTGTTGTTCAAAACGTTTGGTGACCGGTTCAGAAAGTAAATATTTCGATTAATTTCCCAGAATCTGCTACAGAGTGTATGGCAAGCCGTTTTCATATTTAATCCATGCGACAACCGCTAGATTTAACGTCAGTTTCAATAGACTGTACTTAGTTATTCGTAACTGTTAGACTAGTATTACCTATTCAGGTTTTTATTAGTAAATGAATATACAATAATACTTATTTATTAAACACTAAAATGTTATTATATTATTATCATATATTATTATTATTATAAATATTATTATCATTTTAAGTGAATTATGTGGACATTCTGACAGTAAAGACAGGTAAGAAATGTTACTACCCTTACGAATTAACCATGGTTTTACTACAAATAAAACAAAACCATGGTTACTATAGTTAAACCATGGTAACCACAAATTAACCATTGTTTTGCTACACTAACCATAGTTTAATAACGGCATTTGTAGTAAAACTGTGGTTATACAAATGGTAATCAATACACCAAAAAAACATGGTTACTACACTTTTACTGTAGTAAAACCATGGTTAATTTTCGTAAAGGTAGTAACAACTAGGACAGATAGTAGCTATGTTTCCATCCAAAGTTACGAATAAACTTATGTGCAAAACTGGAATATTGCATAAAACATTTGCAAATAAAGCACCGTTTCCATCCAGTGAGTTGAAGAGAACAAAATCGTCACTTCCTGATTACTTGGCGCTAAATATCACGAAGAATAATTATATTTGCTGCAGTAGGAGAAGGCACTGTATATAATAATATTTGTATATAATAAATTACGAGCTTCAGAGTGCGCAGACGAAACACGGTTATGTTAGGCTATCTTATTTTTGGAGCCTGCTGTTTGGGAATGCAGTTCTGGGAGTTAATTATAACAAAGCACTTTGAGAGATATTGCCGAAGCTTTTTAGAATGACAAAACTAGCATTTCAGATGCTGTGCAATTAGATCGGTCCGTTGGTTGGTCCAGTTATGCTGTTCCATCGCAAAGTCACATGTCTTTTTTGATGCGCATTAAGGAATTTATTTGGTAAAAGTGTTTCCATCGTAGTTTATGCTGCTATTATTTCACCACAAGAATGGACTTTTAACACCCGTGTCATAGTTGCCATACATATAATACTGTTTACAGCTGCTCGTGAAGCCTCAGAAGCTGAAACCCGATTATAATAAGGGAATTACATTTCAGACACTCTTTAAGCGGTTGACCAATCAGAACAGACTTGACGCTTCAGAAAGGTGGGCTTTGAAGAGGAACAGAGGGAGAAAAAAAGGTTGCTGCAGCAATATACAGTACGAGAAAAATGTTTTTTGAACTCTAATCATGCAAATGTATTCAAATAGACCTCAAAAGATAACTATTTGTACTTTTGAATGAGCATAGTATGGGCACTTTAAAATGAAAATCTGCAAGTCTGATTTGTTAGTAAAAAAAAATATAGAGCACAAAAGTTGTCTGTTTTAGATCTGGTATATTTCGGTTTCTGATCTCATTCCCAACAAAACAAAATGGTCCAAAAAGGGCCGTTTTATGAATATGAATGCTTTTACTTTGGGAAAAGAAAAACTCCCTGTGAGCAGCCAAACTGCCTGTGCCTCGTAACTCAATGACACAAAAGACCCCTAATATATCTATTGTCAAAAAGAGAAAAACATGTACCAAAACAAGCTATCAAAAATGAAGTATTATTTACTCTTTGTACAAGCTGTGATCATTTCACTAAGCAAATACAAAGTCACTTATTTACACTGAGAAATACTTTTTCTATAAAGACAATAGGCTTTGTGGCAAAACGGGCTCTAAACTGGTGGAGTTATTGCTGTTTTTCTCTGAGGGTGCCTCTGTTTTCACAGGCTCAAAGCGGATGCCAGAAGGCCCCTCATGCTGGCGCATTCTTCTCCAAGGGAAGCAGAGAATGCGCTTGTAGGTGGTCCTCATGTCCTTGTCCCGAAACGAGTAGATGATGGGGTTCACCAGAGAGTTACACTCGGCCAGAACCAGGCAGTACTTTTCATATTTAAGAACCTGACATGCACCGCAACTGAGACCGTCCAGTAACAGAATCACCAAACCTGGCGTCCAACAGATCACAAAGGTACCTGTAGAGAAAGAGTTGAGTGCAGGTCCGGGTACAGTTTGGTTTATACCACAGCATGCAAAACAAATGCATCGTCTTGCAAAACGTTTTATACAGTAGGCCTAAACGCTGAACGAATCTGTGAACATGGGATAATGAAATTATACAACAAACAAGGTGAGATTTACACAACAAACACACACAACTGTGCGCAAAATGTAGTGCTTTCAACAGTTGCCATTTAACTATTAAAAAAAATGTCATGTAAAAAGAATGCATTAATTTGATCAAAAGTGACAGTAAAGACTTCTTGCAAAAGATTTCTATTTCAAATCAATTGTTCTTTTGAGCTTTCTATTCATCAAATAATCCTGAAAAAATGTATCTTGTTTTCCACAAAAGTATTGAGCAGCATAACTGTTTCCAACATTGGTAATAGTAAGAAATGTTTCGTGAGCAGCACATCAGAATATTAGAATGATTTCTAAAGGATCATGTGACACTGAAGACTGGAGTAATGATGCTGAAACTTCAGCTTTGATCACAGGAATAAATTACATTTTAAAACGCATTACAATAGAGAACAGTTATTTTCAACTGTAATAATATTTCACAATAGTATTGTTTTTACTGTATTTTTGATCAAATAAATGCAGCCTTGGTGAGCAAAAGAGACTTTCAAACATTACAAATCTTACCGACCCCCAGTGGTAGTGTATATTATTGTTCAATAGTAATTCATGTTTGTTCATTATACATTAACTAATGTTATTTTATTAAACAAACTGTTTTTTTTTTTTTTTAAATGGTAGAAATGAAGATTAACCAAGATTAATAAATGCTGTAAAAGTTGATTGTTAGTTTATTATATACCTAACGCATCAACTGATATTAACAAATGAACCCTTATTGTAAAGTTTTACCCAAGTAATGAATTATTTCCCTTACACTTTTTACTACACGTGATTGTACACATCTTAAAAAATATATTTTTACAAATATTTTACGTATACAAATAATTTATAATAGTGATTATAGATTTTTTTTTTTATATATATGAATCATTAACTGATACATATTCACCACATGATGTTTTACAACCTGGACTGAACTTTTCCTTGTCGTGATAACATTATGATTGGCCATTCCTGAAGTTTGTGCATTATTTTTTGTTGGTTGCAACATTCTTTTAATGTAAATTGTGTCATGTGGGCTCTCATCTCAAGACACTCAATACATTTCTATATCTTCTATATTTTTTGTGTAATTATAATGTATAATTTGCATGTGATTTCATGCACATTTACTAACAATAGCACCACGTGCTCAGTTGATGCATTTCTTTCCACACCACTGGAGTTCAATCCACCAAAATAATGTTCTGTATCCTAAAATCTTAAGGCAAGTAAAATAACTGATTCCAGCTTGAGGTACAAAATAAGCAGGTGCTAGATGAGCAAATCTGAGCCAAACTGGTTTGGTTAACTTGTTTTGGGGTTGACAGACTTGTTTTGTTTTTCCCAAAAACAAGTTAACAGTACTTCGCCACACAACTGGAGACAATTTTTCATTTTCAAACAAGTTTCCAAAACAGAAAATCAAACTTTCACTCAGTCAACACATAGCGAGTAATCTCACAAACGTCTGAAGCCTACCTAAGAGTCAAGGCCTTACCCAGAATCATGGACATGGTCTTCATGAGGCTGATAACAGTCTGATTGTTGGAGGGCTGATCCGTGTGTGGGGACATTACTCGGCTCCGCCGGCGAACGTAGATGAAGATGTGAGTGTAAACGGCCACCATGATAAAGAAGGCCATGAGGTTGAGGATGGCCCAGGACACTAGGAAGCTGCGGGAATACAGCGGCGCAACCATGCAGCAGGTGGACAGGTCACAAACACAGTTCCAGCCCATGGTGGGCACCAAACCCATGACGACGGCCACCAACCAGATGGTGACTATCAGCATCACCACACGCCGCCTGGTCATGGTGCTGTGGAGCTGCATGGTGAAGATGGTCTGATGGCGCTCCACTGCCACCGCCAGCAGGTTGACCACAGACGCGGTCAGGCTCATGTTGATCAAAGCTCCGCGAATAAACCACTCTTTGATGGTCAAACCGATGGTCCACGGCCCCGTGTGGAACACCAGGTAGAGATACGATATTCCAGCAAAGAGGTCCGCGGCCGCCATGTTCCCAAGTAAGTAATAAATGGGAAAGTGGAACTGTCGGTTGATGATTATGGCAACTATGACCAACATATTCGCCAGAATAATAAAGACACAAATCGGGAGCCCGAGGCCGACCACAATAAAGTCATGAGTGCGCCAGTTCGGGCTGATGGGCTTGCCAGTCTTGTTGTAGAAGAAGGACACTGGATTGTCATAAGCCTCACAGGTAGAATTGAATAACATTATTAGAGAAGTAGTTAATGTAAATCAGTTGAACCATTTAGTTGTTGCCAGTTTGGCCAGTTTTTCCTGATGCTGTAATCCTGATGATGAGATCAGCCGCCATTTCAAATAATGCTTCTACATATCAAAAAACGTGCCAGTGTTGCTGCTTACAAGGCGTGTCTTCTATTGTTTTCCAACCCTAAAACACAGGAAGACGTGAGGACAACAACATTATCTGGCCTTATAAGTCCAACAAGTGAATAGGTTAATCTTTAACAAGAAAGTAGAGGGTGTGATACTAGTCTTCATTAGACACACGCTAAATTTGATTTCAACGCAAATTAAGAGCTGAAAGTAACCGAAGTAATGATGTTTAGCCCCCCATTACAATCCTAACTGCATGGTTTATAACTTAAACACACGAGTTTTCAGAGTAAACGTGAAGAACAGAACGAGGAATGAAATTAGTTGTGGTTACTATTACTTCTTATATTCAGTGAGAACTGGACGCAACAAATCTAACGTTACTCAGAAACACACACTGACTTTATTCGCCCCTGCAGAGGTAACTTACACTGAACAGTTTGGCTCGGTTGTCAGCACACAAACAAAACTACTTTGTTCTAAAATGACACTAGAAAAAAAAAAACACTTACCGTTGCCAGAGCTTCAGAGCAAACAAAGAAAACACACATAACAGCAGCTCAGAGTTCGCCGCTGGTCGATGTTTTGGCACTCGGGCGCTCGCCGGAAACGCTCATCTGGCGGAGTTCGTGGAGAAATCTTCAAGAGATCTGAGATCCGCCGAGATCCCCTTGTGCGCCTCCCTGAAACCTGATTTGATGAAATCACCGCCCGAGGATCCAATGAACGCGAGACTGTTGTTCAAAACGTTTGGTGACCGGTTCAGAAAGTAAATATTTCGATTAATTTCCCAGAATCTGCTACAGAGTGTATGGCAAGCCGTTTTCATATTTAATCCATGCGACAACCGCTAGATTTAACGTCAGTTTCAATAGACTGTACTTAGTTATTCGTAACTGTTAGACTAGTATTACCTATTCAGGTTTTTATTAGTAAATGAATATACAATAATACTTATTTATTAAACACTAAAATGTTATTATATTATTATCATATATTATTATTATTATAAATATTATTATCATTTTAAGTGAATTATGTGGACATTCTGACAGTAAAGACAGGTAAGAAATGTTACTACCCTTACGAATTAACCATGGTTTTACTACAAATAAAACAAAACCATGGTTACTATAGTTAAACCATGGTAACCACAAATTAACCATTGTTTTGCTACACTAACCATAGTTTAATAACGGCATTTGTAGTAAAACTGTGGTTATACAAATGGTAATCAATACACCAAAAAAACATGGTTACTACACTTTTACTGTAGTAAAACCATGGTTAATTTTCGTAAAGGTAGTAACAACTAGGACAGATAGTAGCTATGTTTCCATCCAAAGTTACGAATAAACTTATGTGCAAAACTGGAATATTGCATAAAACATTTGCAAATAAAGCACCGTTTCCATCCAGTGAGTTGAAGAGAACAAAATCGTCACTTCCTGATTACTTGGCGCTAAATATCACGAAGAATAATTATATTTGCTGCAGTAGGAGAAGGCACTGTATATAATAATATTTGTATATAATAAATTACGAGCTTCAGAGTGCGCAGACGAAACACGGTTATGTTAGGCTATCTTATTTTTGGAGCCTGCTGTTTGGGAATGCAGTTCTGGGAGTTAATTATAACAAAGCACTTTGAGAGATATTGCCGAAGCTTTTTAGAATGACAAAACTAGCATTTCAGATGCTGTGCAATTAGATCGGTCCGTTGGTTGGTCCAGTTATGCTGTTCCATCGCAAAGTCACATGTCTTTTTTGATGCGCATTAAGGAATTTATTTGGTAAAAGTGTTTCCATCGTAGTTTATGCGCATGTTTTCTTACCGGATAAGAAATTTGTCCTACTAAGTTGAGCGCAAAAGTTTTTTTAATGCACATCTTGGCGTTTCCAACCAGCGTTTTTTTATGCGATATCCCAAAATGCGCATAATAATAGGTGGATGGAAACATAGCTAGTGTCTCCTAATGAAACGTTGGAAGTAAAATTTAGATTAAATACCAATATGGAATACACAGTCAAAATAGAATTCAATAATCGAAATGTAAAAATTAAATGTTACTTGTTACTATGGATAATGACTAATTTAATAGATAAGCTTCCTGTCATCACTATTGAAAAACATTATTGTAGTTAGGAAATAAATGCAATAGCTTGCCATTTGAGGTAACATAATTTGGCAAAGAAATTAATTTAAAAATCGTTATTGTGACTACGACTTGTTAAAGGGTTAAAAATGTTCATTTAGATTTATTTGTACGCGGAACACAAAACATAAATTTAGCAGATTGTCCTGCTCTGTCACATACAAACAAATTGGATGGCCATTCAGACTGTCCGGCTCCAAAATCATCATATAACCATTAAAGTACCATAAAAGTATTGCAAAAGTATCGCAAAAGTGGTCTGTATGACTCATGCACTATATTTAGTCAATCAAAACCACATTTTATGTGAGAAACAGACTACTCAAATTAGCGTTTGAGCTATAATTAGAAATAAATGTTGGCAGTGACCAACAAAAAGGGTCTCGAGAGAATGTTAACTGCTTTTTGTAACAAAGGTTACTATTTTTAACTGTGACGTATTATAATCATATGTTCAGTACGTATCCCCCTCAAAAATGAGGGATTTTCTCAAGGAGAATTGGTTCATTGTAGTCAATAATGTTGGGATAATTCAATACGTGCACCCAATAATCGCAGGAACACTGAGCCAAAAATGGAATAAACACATCAGACATTTTGATGTGGTTTTACAGTATGTAGTCACATTAAATTTAAACAGACTTGACAGGCTACACTTTTTTGTGATGATGTTGGATGTTTAGTTAAACAACACACAGGAAAGACTTTAGTCAAAGTGTCTTGAACTGAAGATCTCATAAAAACCATTAATATCTAACACATGGGGGGGAGGAATATATGTAAAAGTTGAACTTATAATTAAACTTTTGGAAGAAAACTGCATTTACCTATAAATATTTCCAGACATAATAATTTATACAACATACATTTTCTCCCTTGCCTGAGACAGTTTACTGAACAGACCTCAAACATTTTATTTATTTATTTACTATTGTTTTATTTTTTTTACTTCATTTAAGACAAACCAGACAAAATGCAAGTAGTTATTTTGTAAGTGAAAACCAGAAACCTTGCTAGAGCTAATAACTCAAAATAATTTCTTCTTTGCGTCAAAGGCAATCAGTGATTGTGTTTTATGATGTCTTTATCCAGAACAAAGTCCCACACGAGCTTGTTGACTCTCTCAGGTTGATCTTGTTGTACCCAGTGGCTGCATTCGGGAATAGTGTGAATGACAACCGGACCCCTCACATAAGGCCGTGTTCCACCAGACATGCCCTCAACGAGTATATTGTCTGCCTCACCCCAAATTAACATGCAGGGCACACCGACATCCTGATGCTTGTACAGAGTGTTACTGTAGAAAGAGAAGTAACAATAACCACACTATACCACCAATGACATAGAAATGAAAGTGTGACTAATTTTAAACCTGAGAAGAGAACGAAAGTAGTTCAGAGGGCCTGTGAGTCCTCCGGGCTGGGACAGCTGGTATAGGTACCCCTCCAGCTGGGTCTCAGTCAGTCGTCTGGATTTGTTCCTGATGCCCAAATTCTTGCCACAAAATAGACTTCGAACCAACTATATGCACATGACAGATATAAGTTGCAGAGAATCAACTGTCACCACTTCTGAAATGTCACCATTAGACTCAAATTCAAAGGACAGGAAGTTACCCAGAGCTCATCTTTAGTGTTTCCTGTTACAGTAATAGCATTGTCAAAACAGAAATGACCATAAACTGTTAACCACAGAGTTAATGGTTAAAGGTGTTCACGCTACCTTAAAATCTTCAAGAGACAAAACAATTTCAGGCAGCATTGGTAACTGGAAGAAACATGCATGTCCTGAGCGCAACAGCTGAGAGGGTCTTCTCAGAACGGCGTCTGGGTTTTACAGAAATGAGTATCAATTGTCTGCACCCACATATGTTTCCGTTTCAGAATCAGAGTTGTGTTGAAAACAGAAATGAAATGATGCCCTGTCTGGAAATTGTCAGTATACACTTACCCAACCATGAGGCAGGATGAGGAGCGTTCATGACAATGAGACGTTGCACCATGTCTGGCCTTTCCAGTGCAAAATGCCATGCCAGCATCCCACCCCAGTCATGCCCCACCAATATACAACTTGTGTGACCTGTAATTAAACACATGACATTCCAGTGGTTTATTGACTAAGGCAAAACTGGTTCACATTCAGCCGTGGCCCATCTATATGGGCAGTGTCCCACCTGAAAGGAAAGTAATTGCAAAAGCATAAACAATAAAAGATAATAATAAAACAAAACAAAAATAGCCGGTAAATAGCTTGTTTGTTTCTGTTTTAGTAAATAACCCAGCACTCGACAGCTTTGTTTTACCTTCCTGAATTTTTCCACAACTCGTGAAATTCAAAAATCAATATTCACTCACAATAAATACTACATTAAATGGATAGTCCAGCCAAAAATGAAAATTCTCATCATTCATCAGTATGAGTTTCTTTCTTCTTGTTAAGCACAGACAAAAATATTTTGAAGAATTTTGGTAACCAAACAGTTGACGGTAGCCATTGACTTCCATAGTATTTTTTTCCATACTATGGAAGTCAATGGCTACGTCAACTGTTTGGTTCCCAACATTCTTCACAATATCTTCTTTTGTGCTTAACAGAAGAAAGAAACTCATACAGGTTCAGAACAACTTGAGAGTGAGTAAATGATGACAGAGTTTTCATTTATGCCTGAACTATCCATTTGTTCTAAGATTTCACGATAATTCTATGTATGCACTCTATGTACGTATGTAGGATGGTAATTAATATTAAAGCGCCACACTCAGGCTGAATTACGCAAGTGTCCTGCATGTGTTCAGTCATTTGAATGTAAAACTGCTATTAGCAGTTAATTATAGGTTAATCATATAACCTACAATACGACCCCAAATCTGCCCAACCTTAATGTATGGTCAGGGGCTGCTACTATTCATTTGTGATATAGTCAGTCAGTAAGTACCCAGTTCATCGATGGTGTCTCTGATGTCAAATAAGAGTGTGTCCAGTGAATATTCCTCCAGTTGGACTGGTGCGTCAGAATCTCCACAGCCACGCAGATCTAGCGCCACCGTGTGGTAGTGACTACTGAATTCCTGTAATTGGTAACGCCAGGAGTACCTGCAGGTCATATATATATATATATGCATTTAGTAATATAAAATGATAATATATTTTATATAAATATAAAACACACCCACATTGCAACAACAATTTGATATAATATAATAAAATAATAATTAGTATCGTTATATCTAAAATGTCTGTATGCTTTCACTTAGAAGAAAACAATATGCAGAAACACTTTACAAAACTTACTGCATCAGGTCTACAATATAAAATAATCAGAAATAAAAAATGAAGGAGGAAATAACCAGTTTTCTGGGAAACCATGAAGAAACAGCATTAGAGGCTTTCTGTGGTCTCCTTTGGTTACATAATGAAATCTCAAGCCTGAGCTCTAAAGGGTACAAAAAAAAAAAGACCAAGAAAAAGATGTCACAAAACGATGTCAAATTATTGGAGGTACTGACTGACTAAGCAAATAACTAAGTACGTATAACGTATAATCGACACTCTTTTCAATTACTATTCCAGCAATCTTATGAAATCTTATCACAATCTTATCAAATTTGAG